CCTACTCAACTTTCTTTTTCAACTCACCCTACCAAGGGAACCATGCGAGGCATTGTTGCTGCAGCCAATTCCACAACTGGCGCGCTTCTAGAAACACCTTGTGTCCCACGTCTTTGTCGCCACCAAAATGACAATCGCCAGAGCGTGGAAAACCCCGCTTAGAGAAGTCAAGAATCGCCTAGACGATATAATGGTCAACGAGAAACTGACGGCAGTTCTGTCCGACACTTACGACCGCTTCCTACTGATTTGGCAACGTTGGATCGATTACTCTAAACCACCATCTTTCAATCCACAGCTCCTGTCCATTTAGAGGCTCTGTACTTCACACCTTCCTCTGGACCCCTTTCCCAACGTACCACCTTCCCCTGTCCTATTCCCCTTTTGTTTTTTCCCACACCTAGCCCTCCCCTCGTTCTCTATCTTCATTACCTCTTCCTTTACCCTCCCTATTCCTATCCCTACACAGATCTGTGCTGTCTGACATGCTCCATCCTATCTGAACCAAATGTGCTGGTGTAGGAGGCTGTAAACTCCATTGATCTCATTTCCACAACACTCAGACACCTGACCCGAAAAGTCCCCCCTATGATGATCCTTTCCCATGCTATTATGGGTCTTAGGCATTACAACTGAACAGCAATCCCTCTTTTATGCTCCCACAATGTTCTTTAATACCTGTTCTACTGCTTTTGTTATATAAGTCTGCAGAGCTCTGCACCATGATGTAGCTGTATACTTCTGTTTGTGTTCCTTGTTGTAGGGCCTGCATGCCCTACCTTTGTAATTTTTGTAACCATCATGTGAAAAAACTGACAAAAACCAAATAAAACCTTTGTGAAAGAAAACTACAAGCGGCATGTTCCACTGATCAGAAAACTCACCTGTAGAAATGCGGTGCAGCCTTCATTGGAGTGCATGCATGTAGACAGGAAGTGGCTGCAAAGAAGCTGCAGAATATGAGCATTGCTGATGTGCAACAAGTAGTATTTTATTTAATTCCATCACACAAACTAAATGTAATTCAGTTATGGCTTACATACACTTTAATGTGAATCCGCGGTAAGCAAAGTGAGCTGAGTTGCTAAGAGAGCCAACCTTATTTATTACAGGTATTTATATAGTGGTGACAATTTGCACAGCGCTTTACATAGTTGCACATTCACATCAGTACCTGCCCTCTAAGGTTCCTATCTCTCATGCATACATACGAGGGCCAATTTGGACAGGAGCCAATTAACCTTCCAGCATATCTTTGGAATATGGGAGGAAACTGGAGTACACGGAGGAAATCCAAGCAAACACAGGGAGAGCATGCAAACTCCTTGCAGATAAAGTGCTGACCAGCATTTGAACCGGGGACCGTTGGTGCTGCAAGGCAGAAGTGCTAACCCATATTGCTCCACAGTGCCTGTGGCTACAGAGGTCAGTAAGAATCTGTTTTAAAGTGTATTTGTTAAAAATATGTACAGATTAAATCCCCATAGATGGCCACAGGTTCAGTTTAAGCTTCCATACTGTATCAATTTTATTATAGCACCTAACTTGATGGAACTCTATCATGCAATTGAATATTGATATAAGTTAGAACAACACTTTGGAATTTACTACATTGTAGAGCTGTGGTGTGCATCAACCAAGGGCAACTACTTGGATATCAGTCTTTTATCAAGTTACTCACTCCAATAGCAGATGTTTACCCAAATGCTTTAGGCTAATGTACACTGCTACCTTATGCTACATTATGGAGATACTAAAGGTAAACTAAGCAAACAATTCCATTATCTCAACCCTGTAAAAAAATAATAAAAAGACAATTTAATATTTAGGGCCTGATTTATTAGTAGTAAGGAAACACTACCAGCAATTGTGAATGGTGTTCTATCTTTTTTGTACATTCCTGTGCAAATGCATTCACACTGACAACCATCAATAAAACATAACCATTATGATTATAACAAATGACCTCAGGAGTTTACAGTTGAAAATGTCCAGATAGAGTTCCTTCTGTAACAAATAATAAATTAAACCTAAGTAAACAAAAGGCAACTGTGAATACATTTTGAAACAAGAATTTCTAACAAAAATGTGTTAAAATTGGTTTACAGTAAAAGACAATATCAAATAACTAAACATCTCATGGGGAAAGGGGCTAAAAGGAACCAAAAAGCCCCCTCCCCCACACACACATCTTCAAGTGGCACTAAATTCAAGAGTTAAACCTTCAGGTACATTAACACAAATGTAGCTTATTTGTGTATCACTCAGCCTTAGATCCTCAAATCATCTCTGAATACATGCTGACACTGTCCTTCCTTCTGGAAGGTGGCTTGTTCCCCATGGTCCCTATGTGTGTTGTAAAGTAGCCATCACTCCAAGCTCACTCCCATGATGGAGTACAGTCTCAAATTTAGTTTACTAATTTGTATTGAAATCATAGTCCATCACGGAAGCGAGATTGGAGCGATGGATACTTTATAACACACACAGGGACCATGGGGGACAAAAGTAACCACCCTCCAGAAGGAAGGACAGTGTCAGCACCAATTCAGAGATGATTTGAGGATCTATAGCTGAGTGATACACAAATAAGATACATTAGTTAAGGTACATGAATGCATTTTTAAGATTTAACTCCTGAGTTTAGTGTCACTTTAATAATGAAAAACACAACATGGTCTACTTAAAACAGGAGGTATTTGCCTGTAAATAAATAAATAAAGGATTTGCATGGCTCCTCCAACTGTCCTAAATGAGGGATACATCCCGTTATTTTATGGATCAGTGATGGAACTGAGACAAGCAAATACTTTCTGTTTTGAAGGAGAACTGAACTCAACAACGTAATGATTGCTGTACTATAGGGACATTTAAGAAATGTTAATTGTGTCTAAGAAGTACCCTGACATTTTACCCGATACATTTTATCCTAAATTCCTCCTAAAAAATAGCAGTGCACTTCCCGGTATGTGAGGGTCCCAAGACAGTGTGAGATTAAGTTACTGATGCCTCTGACTGCTGGTTTCATGAGATTTAAATTGATGGAGGCTCTGACATGAGGAAGCAAAAGCCCTGCCTCTACCAAGATGGCTGCCTCCACACAGAGCCAAAGCACAGAACGAGACATTGTAAGTGAGTAATGGGGAATGATCAGCTGCAGGGTTATTCACAAATGGGTGAAGAGTTTGGAGAAGGAAGGAGAAGTGAACAATCTAGGACAGGTAAACCACAGGCAGTGCTGTTGACTAGCCCTTTGCCTTCCTCCTGCTTTTTTTGTTGAGGCACAGCTTCCAGAGTTCAGTTCCTCTTTAAGGAGAATATAAAAATGTCAAATAAATATTATAAAATAAAATGTGTAACTATTGTCAATATTGGTAAATAAATATATAGTTGTAACTGACTATAACTGAAGTGTGTTGTAGTACATAGAAACATACTTTAAAGGAGAACTATGAGGTGAGTGAAAATCACTCAGCTTCATAGTTCGAGTTGATGTGTGACAATGAAACTGCCACACGTCGGCTCAATAGATCGGGAAGTGAGAGAACACATACGGTCGCTCGATCACTTCTCGATCCTGTACCAGCAGAGACCCGTGACTGGGATCCCCCCCTCCCATATACGATCCTCCAGCGCTGACTGGCGGAACGGACGGGGAGGGGACGGGTACAGCTGGCTCTGCCTCTAGATAGGCGGAGCCAGCTGTCAATCACGCAGCTGGGTGGATGCAGACAGTAATGTCGGGATCCGTCCCGGCAGCGGTGATCTCAGTATACCGCAAGCTGTAGCGCACGGTGTACTGAGCTTTGGGTGATGGGAGGACGCTAGTTTGTGTGTTCTCCAGTGACCCTGGGGAGAACTATGGGGAAAAGCACTGACCCCATAGTTCTCCTTTAAAATTATTATTTTGACAAAGTATATGTAAAGCTAAAACACTTTTGGCATCTTGTCAACGGCACTTGACAGGAAATTTATTTCTAAAGTGAACAGAAAGCTCCCTTAGAAAGTTGTCGCTGAAACAGGTTTTCCTATTGCAATATTTCCTTTACCATCTGTTCTTGTGTAAACTGTAACATTTGAGATGAGCTTCTACCACTCTCTCCAAAACTAAAGTTCAAATCATATCTGAACATTGTGGTGTGCTAAAAGGCAGGTCCATTGTGACTCTTTGAGGATGTGCACTAGGGTGCCCTTTAAAAAGAAAGGCATTCAAATTAAATTTGAATAGCTTAGTGCTTGTCCTGATAACATTACATTATGGAGCAGGGCTTTTCAAACTGCACATGTGTATTTGCACTTTCCCACGTTTATTGTATACAAAGATATTACAGATTGATCAAAGAAACTGCTTCCAGAAATTGCTGGTAAACATGTATCAGGGGCATATTACATATCAGTGTTAATTATGAAGATGTTTTTATTTTATATTATGAGAAAATAACAATATGTGTCAATTTTAAATAAATATATTGATCCCTGACCACATATGTAACAATGCTAGATATATTAAGATATCAGATATATACAGTCATATAGATACCCTACTGTGATCATCATAAACTACTTAAAATGTATTCTTATTGTGATATTATTTATAATTGCATAACTAGAATAAAACACATTAATTAGAAGTAATATAAATTAAATTGTTTAGTTGTAAAGGGGAACACATTTCCAACATTCACATTTCTGTTAAATAACTCAATTTCAAAATCCCTACTCACCTGCTCCTGTGAGGCAATGTAAGTTTGGTATAGGCACTTAGGACCCCTGGGGATGTATGTTCAGCATTACTAAATTTTTATGCACATAGTTCCATACCGGGAATATACATGCATAGCATGAGCATGTGTGTGCATATTGTTAAAATGTTAAGTAAATTATAGTAGGGGGTCCCTGCAGCATAACCCAAGATTAGTGACCTGGAAAGCAGGTTTTCAGTTGTAGTAAATCAGGCCCTTACCATCCTGAGCTCTTTGAAAAACAATGTCAAGATTGTCTACGATCCATTGATATTACTAGATTTTCACTTTAGACTTTACTGTCCCAGATTCTCTTTTTCCATATCTGAGACCAAAGGAATTCCAGTTATAAGATGATAGATCTTTCTCTCTTTCCACCAGGAAGGTGCCTTCAGGTACAGGAATAACGCCATTAGGAAGGGTTAATTCACCAGACCATAGCTGATCAGCTGGGATCATTTTCTTCTTCCTACACAGAAGTGCATATATGGGTTTCTGTTTCATCCTCCATGTAGTATCTGTCTTATCTGAGCATGGCAAAGCACTTGTCCACTGATTCTTCTTGTTCACCAAATTCATTTCTGTTACTGTAGGACAGATAATGCATACATAATATCTGTAGAATAATCATATTTTACTTGTATATTTGTAAATAAAGTTAAAATGTGTTTTTTTGTTTTTGTTTTTAGTGGAGCAAAAGGGTTATAACCCAATTTGGTATTTATTTCTGTCTGTATCCCTGCTCGGGACTCAAAGGAAAAATCCAAACTTTTAAGTTGTGTCCAGAACAGAAATAAAGAGGAAATCCTACCACTGAGGGCACTTATTAAGGTGATAACTATTTAACAGAGGATTTCCTGTATATTAAAAAACAGTCTCTCACTTCTTCATGTGTCTACAAAACAGGAAGTAAGAGACAACATCCATAATAGATAGTTAAAGAATGTCACCAGCACACCAAATTGATGATTACAGCAAATAAGTGTTCATTTAGTGACGTATTATGTCTTTCGTTTGCAAGCTCTTTCGGGGCCATGCAGGGTTCCCTTCATCAGGCTCAGAGATTAGGTAATTTTGAGCACCTGCCTGCATATTCATATAGGAATCCCGGTAAGGAGTGCAGCAAGGATCTTCTTTCTTGTTCCAATATCCATAATAAAAATAAATAAATAAAATAACAGGGGTTTTAACCATTCCCAATCCTGTCCAAAAATATCAAAACAGTTTTGGGCTTAGATACTTGATATCACCTATGCAGCTTAAAATATAAAAAGTTAAGTATCACATATGTTGATACATTTCATTATGCTTAATAAATCTTTTAAAATTCATTCTGGTGACAGTTTATCCAATCTTGCCATCTGCTTTGTCCAGTTTAGATTACATTCAGATTTAGCTGATCAGCTAAGTATTTTCATTATCTTTTACTTTGTATTTCTATATGTAATTCATAAATTTAGTGGTCCATGAGGTCCAAAAGGTTGGAGACCACTGCACTAGACTGCGTACTGCTGTTGAACACATTTTAATGCTGAGAGAGAGCAGAATGAAGGACTGAATAGCTTATGTTTAGGGCCTAAAGCTATGTCCAGCTTATAGTGGCGGATGAACATGTTGGGAGTAGACCAACTCGCTGCCCTACATACTACGGAGGATTTGGATGCTGGCTACCACAGGTAGGTATTATCTATTGCAGCCTTTCTCAACCAGTGTGCCTTCTTGTTTTTTCAGGTGTGCCTCGAAATTTTGTGAAGGTAGGACTTCTGATATAACTGGGGGGGACGGGACACTCTGATGTAAAGGGGGTGTCTAATGTTAAGAGAGCTCCTGATGTGAAGGAGAGGGGACTTCTACTGTGAAGGGGGGCTACTGATGTAAAGGGGGACTTTGATGTAATGAGGAACCACACTTTGTGTGTTTTTGCATTAGGTCCCCCCTTAAAATCCATTACATTTTAGTCGGGGGTGCCTCGAGATTATGCATTTTTTAAGGGTGCTATGACTGAAAAAAGGTTCAGAAATGCTAATCTACTGGCTCATGGTGTAATGTTGCAAAGTAGAATTTACTGCCACTTTAACCCCCTAACAGGGTTGCTTAAGAGATGAATAAACATGCCATGCAGACCAAACACAAACCAGTCTTGCTCAGAATCACACTAGCTTTCAGAAGACTGCTCAGCAAAACCCCTTCAGTGATCTTAAGATCAACTTTGCAGTGTCACAGGTTGGAATCTAGCAGAAATGTTAAAGGTAGTGAGAGTTGATGCAATGCACCAAAAACAGCTGCAGTTTAGAGCCCCACAAACTCATAATCTGATAATCCTTCCGTATCTCTACATCTGCAATGTATTTCAGGTTGCTGGATCGGTAGTTTTAAACACCAGAGTATCTGTTCTGTAAGTCTTTTGGCTGTGACAGGTAGCTTTTACAGGGCTATTCACAAGAGGGTGAAGAGTTTGGAGAAGGCAGGAGAAGTGAACAATCTAGGACAACATAGATTAACTGGAAAAATTCTCCAATTCAGCTCACTTTCCAGTCCAGCATGTTGTCCTAGATTGTTTATGGCTCCTGCCTTCTCCAAACTCTTCACCCATTTGTGAATAACCCTGATAGTGTCCCACGCTTCAAATACAGGATAAGTTACGTATACTGGAGAAGGGGTTACTTTGGTTTTGGGTGTTAATTTAAAATGAACCTGAACTCTAAAAGTGAATATCTGTTATTTTTTACCAACAATACAGAAATGTGCCTAAGCAGCACCATTAAAAAAAATATTACTTTTTGTTTTGAATTCATTCTGACTGTGCACTTTCTGGTATGTGAGTGTCAGTGGCGTAACCAGAATTATGGGCGCCCGGGGCAGAATTTTTTTTTCCGCCCCCCATATTATATAAACATCCACTGGAACTGTACCCCCCACACATATATATCAGCTAAGGAACTACAAGTCCAAGTATGCCATCATTGACCTTGTACACCCCCCCACACACACACATATCTCCCAGGGAATGGCAATATCTGGTTGTTGTACAGGGGCAATGAGGGCATGCTGGGACTTGTAGTTCCCTAGCTGATATGTTATGAAGCTGTATTCTACCTGAAAGTACTACAATGCCATTATAGAACTAAGAATAGAACATAAAATAAAACTTTTTTTCTTCTTCTAATACTCACCTGATTCCTGGATCCACCAACAAGCGCAGCCTACCGTTTCCCATGCTGTTAGAAGTTGCATACAGCGTGTGCTGGTTACTACTTAAACCGGCGCGCGCTGTGTGCAGCTTCTGGGAAGATACGCTATTAGCATAGCGATGAAGCCGGCTGAGCATTTTGCATCACTCCCGCTACGCTAATAGCGTACAGGGCAGCCATCAGGGTGGTACGGCCGATACTCATGTAAGGGGTCCGGGCAGCCGGCTGATGGTGAAGAGCGAGGAGGCGGAGGCCTGGCCCTAGCAGCACAGGGCCCCAGCATTGCCGCTCCAGCGGCTTTGAGACAAGCTAGGGCCCCATCAGCAACACTGCTCGTCTGATGTCAGACTGGCTGGTCCAGCGGCAGACGAGGCCATGTGTGCAGGTAAGAGGAGCTAGGAAGGAAGGAGGGAGGGGAGGGATGCAGCCCTGACCAGCCCACCTGAGACCCCTTCAGAGCCCACCATAGACAGTCTCAGATGGGCTGTGCTGCATCTATGGTGGGCTCTGCAGGGTCACTCTCAGGTGGGTTCTGTGTCCAGCGCGTCACAAAGCCCTGCGTCCAGTGCGTCACTAAGTACAGAGACCCCCGCAGTCTAAAACTAAAGCACTGTAGCCTCTAATTGATAGTCTCAGGAGATTTGGCAATGCTGGTAAACTGTGCTGCTCAATGTTCTCCATGATGGGGGCTCTGACAAATAATACTGGGGAAATATCAGCTGCAGGGTGACCACAGACAATATTGGTGACTTGTCCCTCTGCCTGCCTTTTTTGGGCACATCTTCCAGAGTCCAGTTAATCTTTAAGGTTAGAGTCAGAATTCAGAGAGTTAAGGATTCATTTAGGTGTTTGAGGGGATGAAATGTTTATGCCTCATTGGGTGGGTTAGATTAAGTGTTATAAGTTGGTTAAAGCTACACTGTGAGGTTTAAACTAGAGAATAAAGGTGCTGTTCTTTGCACCGTGGTTCCATCCCTCGAACAGGCCAGGCATAGAGGTTTCAGCAAGGGATAAATCACTAATACAACATTTGGAGTCAGAATACTTAGGGTCATTGTCATGCTGAAAGGTGAACCTCCATCCCAGTCTCAAATCTCTGTCAGACTGATACAGGTTTCCCTTAAGAATTTCCCTGTGTTTAGCACCATCCATCATTCCTTCAATTCTGACCAGTTTGCAAGTCCCTGCCAATGAAAAACATCCCACAGCATGATGCTGCCACCACCATGCTTCACTGCGGGGATGGTGTTCTGGGAGTGATGAGAGGTCTTGGGTTTGCGCCAGACATAGCATTTGACTTAAAGACCAAAAAGATACATTTTAGTCTCATCTGACCAGAGTACCTTCTATAATATGTTTGAGTTAACTCCCCTTTTGGCAAACAGCAAACATGTTTTTTTAATTTATTATTTTCTGTAAGCAATGGCTTTTTCCTGGCCACTCTTCCATGAATGCCAGCTCTGTGGAGTGTACGGCTTAAGGTGGTCCTATGGACAGAAACTCCAATCTCTGCTACAGTGCTTTGCAGCTCCCTTAAGATTATCTTTGGTCTCTTTGTTACATCTCTGATTAATGCTCTAGTTGCCTGGTCCATGGGTTTTGGGGGAGGAGGTGGCCTTCTCTTGGCAGGTTTGTTGTGGTGCCATATTCTTTCCATTTTTTAATAATGGATTTAATGGTGCTCTGTGAGATGTTCAAAGTTTCAGATATTTTTTTTTATAACCCAACCCTGATCTGTACTTCTACACAACTTTGTCCCTGACCTGTTTAGAGAGCTCCTTGGTCTTAAAGGTGCAGCTTGCTTGGTGGTGCCCCCTGCTCAGTGGTGTTGCAGACTTTTGGGCTTTTCAGAAGAGGTGTATATATACTGAGCTCATGTGACACTAAAGGTGGCCATACACTCTACAACCATCGCAAGACTTTAGTCTTGCGATGGTTGTAAAGGGATTAAAAAAACGTACGATCTGCCTATCTTGGACAGGCAGATCGCACTCTCGATCATCGCAAGCCCACCCCCCTGAGGGGCGGGCTTCCGATGACCGCAATGCTGAACGGGCAGTGTGCGCGTGCGCACACCGGCCCGTTCAGCATTTATCTTCCGAGCACCCTTCTAACCAGCCAAGAATCGTACGATTCCCGGCTGGTTTTCGAACATGCTGGTTCGACAGAAGACGTGCGACCGTACAGTAGAAACGGTCGCACGTCTCCGTTCACACTGCTCGATTATCGTACGAAAAACCGATCGCATACGATTATCGTACGATAATCGTGCAGTGTATGGGCACCTTTAGATTACACACAGGTGGTCTTTATTTAACTAATTATTAGGGGTGCACCTGAATGAAATTTTGAGACCGAAACTGAGAATAAAACATTTTTTAGGCTGAAACCTAAAAAAAAATGTTTCCCAATCTTTAAACAAAATAAAAAATTTTCTTTATTTCTTTTTTGTTACTTTACTGTTGGGGGCTCTGAAGAAATATAGGGGTCTAACACTAAAGACTCCTGATATTTCCCTTTTAAAATAGAAAATCTCTTTTTCTGCAGCCCCTGTTATCAATGAACTGAGTGTTCCTGTTCACTCATACATTGTGTACTTACTATGTCCACAATCATGAATGCATAGGAAGTGATGTAATTCACTTCCTATTCATTCATAATTGGACATAGTAAGCACACTATGTCCAGTTATTTACAAAACTCATCGATCAGCTGATCATGAGTATTTGTATACAGCTCTCCATTCTGAATCAGCTGTCACATGAGGGGGGCAGGTGGTGGGGGAGGAGAGCTCTGCCTCCTGTGACAGATCACAGTGCTCTCCTCCACTGACCGCTCTCCATCCTGACACAGGAGGCGGAGCTCTCCCACACCTCCTGACTCCACCTCCTATGTCAGGATGGAAGGTGGTGAGTGGAGGAGAGCGATGTGATCTGTCATAGGAGGTGTAGCTCTCCTCCCCCACTGACAGATCACAGCTGTCACCACCCTGCACCGCTCCCCAGGAGGCCGAGCCGGGAGGTGAGCTCGGCCTCCTGCAACAATCACCGCCTACATTGCTCGGCATCCTGAAAGCTTCTCTCCTCCCCTCTGGGTGCTGGCACTGCATTGGAAGGTACACAGACCATTGCCCAGCGGGGAGAAGAGAAGTTGGGATACACTCAATTTTCAACCGCATTTTCGGCTGTCATGGCACTTTCGGCATTTTGCCAGAAGTGCCATTTTTGGACAAAATGTTTCAGTGGACGAAATTTTGGTGCATCCCTACTAATTATGTGACTTCTGAAGGTAATTGGTTGCACCAGATCGTATGTAGGGGCTTCATAGCAAGGGGGGTGAATACATAAGCATGCACCACTTTTTCCCATTTTTTATAAAAATATTTTTGTTGATTTCACCATTTTGGACTATTTTGTGTATGTCCATTAAATGTAATCCAAATAGAAATCCATTTTAACGCCAGGTGGTAATGCAGCAAAATAGGAAAAATGCTAAGGTGGGGTGAGGGGGGGGGGATAATTTTGCAAGCCACTGTAAAACTCCACCAGGGATGGCTGTTTTTATTTTATTGTCTGAAACATTAACACACGAGGAAGAGGCGCTTTCTTCTCTTTTAATTAAAAAAAAAAGTTATACTCCCTCACTGCAGCGACCGAACTGGCTGGCTCCAAGGATGAGGTGAGTATGACAGTGGTAGCCCCACTGCAAGAGTTAGTAAAATTTCTGCCCAGAGTTCTTCGAAAATGTGGAATGCATCTTTACCTTCTCTGGGACCTGCTGTTGCCTTGTTGTTCTTACATCTTACATTGACAGTGCATTTCGTGGCCTGAAATCCCAGGCTGTGTTTTTAGCCTTGCCCAGTTTTCCTCTACAGAAAACCCTTTGTACTTTTTATCTTCATTTTCTAAAGTACAACTTTGGCATCCCATTAAAAGACGTATCCTGCAGTACCAACTTGTAAGTGTATCTGTAGTCCCCCTGCAAAGTCCCACACATACCTGTTGAGCCTGCCATGAAAGCAGGCTTCTTGTGATGACATGGCAATGATGCTACACTGCTTCTATATTTAGAGCAGAGTTGCCACTCTCAGGTAGACTGTGTCTGCTTACACCAAATTGGCATGAAAAATGTTGCAGGGGGTGTGGCTATCAGTGTTGTCCCTGCTTATTCGCAAGTCTGTAGCTTGTTCAGTCAGCACCTGGCAACACCTAGCATTACTTTCTGGATTGGAAGCACTGCGTCTGTTGCTGAAACCATCCCACTGTGAGTTGCAGTGTCTGGGAGGGGACACGTGTGAGAGATAAAAGAGAATTTGGTTCAGTCAGGGAAGGTAAAGGATTTTTTTGTTGATTTTATGAGGCATGTGCATTGCATAGTAACAGAATCTGGTATCGACTGCCATACAGGAATCTTTATTTGTAGTTTAAGGGACACTGTCTTGGACTTCAGTGCAACAGAGACAGCTTTGTGAGCTCAAACAGAAAGTTAGAAGCTCACTGGATTTCTGGCTGAGTGGACAAGTAATTTTCTATACTTGCAGCATTTTTAACCAGTTGACATCCATCGAGCACATATAGGCGATCGGCGGGCTATGGACCCGCCGATCGCCTATATGTGAAACACCCGGTAACGGGTGTGTGCATTTAGCGGGTCTTTTCTGCCCGTGCGTGCCCGCTAGGGGGCGCGCGCGAGCAGAAAAAAATTGCCGTCTGGAGACGGCAACCCGCAGATGCTGCAGTGCCGTCCGTCCGTTTTTTTACTACGGGCGGACGGCAAGAGGCTAAAGAGGCAAAACATAGGGAAATGTGCATGTAGTGCAGAGAAGTATTAAATTATATATATTTATTTTCTCTTTTTTGCCAAGGCAAGCAAACACTTTAAATAATAAATGGTGTGTATCGTTATAGTCTTTTCTATAACATTTATAGAAACAATAGTTTACCTGTGACTTTGGAGGTATGCACAGGCCGTCTGAAATTGATTCCAACTATCAGAACAATCAGACAAAGAGCAGTGAGTTTCATCATGTTTTTTTAATGGAAGTTTCTGCAGATAAACACAAAACATATTATTATTTATTTATACTTTGATTTATTGTTTATTATTTTCCTAATTTTTACTGGTGATTTGTATTAACAAGTATGACTTTTAGCAAGAATGCATCAAAAACAAATACATGTTTACAGTAACTGGCTAATAGTCAAATCGATGTCACAGTGAAAGCCTTCAGACCATCTAGATTTCCAATGTGGTAAAAAAAATGTACCCATCTGTCATTAAAGGAGAACTATGGGATGAGTGAAATCCATTCATTCTCACAGTTAGAGCCGCTGTGTGACAGTGAAGCTGTCACACGTCAACTGTATTGATTACTCAGCGATCACAAATCACTGATCACGATCTTCTACCTGCAGAGAGTGGTGACTATCAGTCACCACTCCCTACAGGAGTTTCCTTCTCCCCTCTCCTTTCCTCCAGCACTGACTGGAGGGGCAGATGGAGATGGGGGCGGGCAAATCAGGCAGTGGGGTGGATCCCGACAATATCGTCCAAATCTTTCCCAGCTGCAATGTGGCTCTACGCTGTCAGCATATAGCAGGCAAATATTTTCCTTAAGGTCATTCTTACAAAATGAAATGTCATTTAAATTGTCTAAAGACCATCTAAACATTTTTTGGGACTGCCAAATACAAAACCATGCTGAAGATCATGAAGATGATGAAGATGGCGGCCTTGTGATCTTAACATGGAAGTGAAGTCTTATCTTTTTTTTAAACTGCTGACAGGCAGACTTTTTATGTCAAAATAGAGTTATGTTGGTTTCTTCCTACATAGAACCTTCACCGTGTCTGTTAGCACCTTTTGTTTTGTTCCCGCACTCAGCTTAGTGTAGAGGCTTAGCAGGATACTTGCCGAGGTTAAGTAACCATGTGTGTGAATGTGAGCGGTGTATATGTATATATATATATAGCTCCCATCTTATTTTGTGATGTGGCTACTAGACATTTAGTGATTGCCAGGGCTGTAGCCTGGCTGGATTATAGTGTCATTTACCTGGTTAATAAGGTCTCTAGCATTGATTGTTTCCCCCGGGTGGAGTATGACTCTGCTGTATTGTGGGACAGCCAATAAGTGTATGTACGGTGCAGCAGCCAATCCCTGGGTTTCTCTCAACCAGTGGTGCATGCTGGGATAGGGTACATATACTGGAGGGAATTGCCATGTGCTCACATTAATCTGGACCAGCCATGGATTAGGGGTAGGTGCTGTCCAGCCTACCCCCCAGGCTAGGCCTGAGGACTGGGGGTGGGCAGAGGTTGAGTGTGGGAAGAGTTTCCCTAGGCCTCAAGTATGGAGGAGGTTGTGTTGTTTGCCAGAGGAGGAGAACCAGAGAAGCTGATGTCGGCTGGAGGTGCTTGGAACATAGAGGACCTCTGGAGCATGGCTGGTGTCTCTCTTGCTAAGGATCTGTGCTCATTCCCTGCACATCTGTTATTCAAATAACTATTCGCTGTACTACTAGTGGACCTACACTGAGATGCGTAAAAGGTCTGGTGAGTCTGGAGTCTGTCTGTTACACCCTGGATGTCTGGGATCCCTATACCCTCTCTCCCCAATGTGAAGATGTTTAATAAAAGTTCTTCAGCATTACAATACTGGAGTGGGCATCAGCTTTGTGGGCACTAGAAGAGGGCGGTAGAATGCTAGTGGGGCAGCTGAAGATCAAACCCCTAGACAGATTAGTGATGACCCAGGTTATTCCTGCGGCTCCTCTGGGTGTGAGCGCTATTGTATGTGTTTTTGAAGCTGAACTCCTTGAAACACTCAAAACTACTGTAATGCAAGAGTTAAGTAGGGTATACACTGATAGATTTTTGAACGAACAATTCGTACAAAAAATCTTGTTGGAACGTTCAATATTGCCTTTAGAGACTTGCCGAATGTTGTTCAAAATTTCGTTATATTTTCATTTCGATTTAACATTTGTTTTTTGAATGAATGAAAACCACATTCACTGTTAAAATGTTGTATCCAGAAATATTTTCCAATATGCTCTTCCAAATGTTTTCAGCACTGTGGTCGAAATTGATCATTGATTTACCCCATCAACTATTAGAAAGTCAAACAAACGTTCTGAAAACAATTTCATTCATTTGAAATTCTTCCAGTGTATACCATACTTTAGGCTTAGTTTTGTCTAGAGCACCTTCAAAAGCAGGTTCAACTCGCCTTATCTCTCAGTCCCTTGGAATCTGGAGACTTTTTGGGGAAGAACTGGCTAGTAAAGAGAAGTGAAGAATCAAAATGTCCATCTGTAAATGGCTGGAAAGAGAGAAATTGGGATGCATCACGTGTCTTAGGTAAATTATCAGCACACTTTTTAGGTGACTGTAGGTCTTAGGAGCATGGGTGCCATGAGTCTGAGCTGGGGGTGGGCCATATGTATGAGCTGGGGATGCACCATAGATGTGAGCTGAAGTACCACTAAAAATCTGAGTGGGTGGGCCACTATTTATCTGATTTTGTAGGCCATTATAGATGGGGTTGATGTGGAAGGTGGAGGGGTAAGTGAGGATGATTAGGTAGGAAGCTGGGTTACCCTATCTAGAGGGAGTGGCAGGGGCTCACAGAAAAGGAAGGCCGGTCCTGTGTTTGAGCACCCAAAAACATTGCTAAGTAGGGTGAAGATGTGAAGGTGTCAAGCCCTAACATATGGGAGATCAGCCTATCTAGTCTGGGTGATGATGGTAATGCAGGAAAGCCTAGGCAGTTGGTGGTAATAGGGGATTCTATAATCCAGATCACCTCAACCAAGTGGTTTTCTTTCTCCCTGGTGCCAGGGTTTGCCATGTGGTGGACTGGGTGAACAAATTACTGGGAGGGGCTGGACATAACCCAACTGTCTTGGTCCATATTGGGATCAATGACAGAATACATGGAAGTTGGAGGATCCTTAAGAACAAATTTAGAGAACTAAGTTGCACATTGAAGGGAAGGACCTCAAAGGTAATATTCCATGGAATATTGCCTGTGCAATGAGCAACACAGGAAGCACGTCAGGAGCTTACAGAGCTAAATATATGGCTAAAGGCCTTGTGCAATAGGGAAAAAATTGGCTTTCTAGAGCACTGGGCTGACTTTTCATTGAGGTGCAACTTCATTGAGATGCTAAAGAAGATTTGTACCTAAATGGAAGGGGGTCTGCTGTGCTAGGGGAGCAGTTTATGGGAAAGTTGGAGGAGTATTTAAACTATGGTTGTGGCGGGAGGGAGAATTGGAAAATAATGGGGCAGATAAGTCAGATGGGGGTCCGACTATAATAGAGGGGGGAATAGGGAAATATTGGGGTAGGGCAATGGAAGGGGATAAGGAGACTCCCATGTTGCAAACAAGCATTGAAGATTACAGTGCTATGTGCACTACAAAAAAAAGATATAATTATTGCAAGTAAAAAATGCGATTAAACTGTTCACCAAAGCCAGAAGTCCACCAAGCAAAATAGGAGAGTTGGAAGTTTTGGTGTATGAAGAGCACTATAATTCTATCAGTATTGCTGAATCTTGGCTTTGTTCTTCACATGATTGGGATGTAGATATTACTGGCTATGCTCTCTTTCGAGAACAGGTAAAACAAAGAGATGGCAGTGTCTGTCTCTATGTGAGAAGTGATCTAAAAGTGAATGTGAAAGAGGACTTTGTTGAGGCGTGAGTGTGATAGTGCTGAGGGTGGAGTTACATATTGGTGTGTATACTGCAAAGGTAATTATTTGAGTCTGCTACAGGCCCCCTAGTGTTAATGAGGTAGAGATTCCCAAGAGCAAGAGCTGAGACAGTAGTAATAATGGGAATTTTTTTAATGCATTCTTTGTTTAAGAATTTTTCAATTTACAAACAATAAGCATAACAAATTATCAACTAAAAGAGAAAGGAAGTAAGACATACGGAAGGAACTTCCCATGGTGCGTCACAATACTCAACTCTAGATTGCACTACACTGGTGACAAAAGAAAGCATAATAACTATGGTGGTGAGAATACATTTTGGAGCAGGCTCTGGATCTTGTCGCCCTTCTACTACTGGATACTTGGTAGTTTCCCGATATGGCCACACAATATTCTTCTCTATACTATAGGTTGAACTCGATGGACTTGCGCTTCTATTCAACCTGACTAACTAACTATGTACCCTAAAATGATGACAAAATAGCCTGGATTATCTGAATGCCCATTTCAGAAACTAGATCTGGCTGAACCTTTTCAGTCTGAAGGTTTAAACTTTTTGCAAATAGTGTTCACTCTTTTCTCTCTCTCTCTCTCTCTCTCTCTCTCTCTCTCTCTCTCTATATTCAGAGAAAAAAGTAAAAAAATTCTCGCACTAGACTACAGCTTTCAGCCCCCTCGCCTAGGCACTGGTGACATAACTCCGCCTCACTACGAGATCTTGAGAAGGTGAGGACCCCAAGTCTTACAAGAATACACTACTTGCATGTTTTTTTTGGTTTCAATTAGTGATAAGAATAGTGTTCCACAGCCTGCAGCATGGTAAAATAATGGTAATAAAGGGAAGCTTACTTAGAGCATCAGCTACCATGCACCACTATTAAAAGGGAAGCTTGAGAGTCTCCTTTTTTGGTATCCTTGAAGTAAATATTTTTGACAGAAATAAGGATACTGCCATTGCCTACCTCCTTCTGTAAATGCTACTTAGCTAGCTGTTATGCTGACCGGCTTTGCTCAAATCTTTCTGAATCATTGACTTAGACAACAAAGCAGGACACTCACAGAAAAGTCTGTTATCTGCATACTTGATTTGGGTCATTTGTTGCCATAAGATTTTTTACTACATCAGAAATGCCACATGAATTCTGGAAAGAGCTCTTTTTTTAGTTTTTGCCGTTCCTCTCTGTGGTGTTTTTTAAGGTGAAACAATTACATACATTACTCATTGTCCAGGTTTTCTCAAAGAACTTATGAGTCCTCTATACTGGCAGAAGAGAACTTTGCTATTAGGAGACATTTAATGAGATT